ATAAAAGACGTATAAATCAATACATCTTGAATTTAGGTGACATTCACATATGCATCAGATTTTTAAAAATGGAGTGAAGAAGATGAATGTTGGAAAGGGAGAATGAAGATGGACAAAAAAAGCACTTCCTGTGATTAGTGAGTCAGTTAACTTATTAAATATTGAGCTTAATTTTTATAATATGTTAATAATAAAAAAAAAGTGTTCTTTATGGAATAAACAATAAATGATGCTATTTTTTTTAAATAATAGTTAAAAAAGGATCAAGCGTGTAAAAAACTCATTTTTTAATTAAAGCCATATGTCCAGGGTATTTTTCAATGCTTCTTTAATTTTTTCCTATTAATGATTTTTGAAAAAGAAAATAATTAAAGGAGAAAGAAATAAACAACTGTTACGGCGTTGTTCGCCAAACTTTTGAAAGGGTTCGTCTCCTCCTTTATTTTTACAGTAATATGCTAGAATCAAAGTAAAAAATTACTCCCTCATTTTCAATTTAGGTGACAATTTTCCTTATTAATCCGTTCCAAAAAAATTACACATTTCTACAATTGGTAATAATTCAACTTTAAACTCTTCATTTTATCATTAATGAGAAACTTTTACAATCACACAAATGTCATGGCCCACAAAACTTTTACTCCCTTAAAGCTTTTAAGATTAAAAGTTTCAAAAATCTTTTTTTTTTCTTAAACTCCGTGCCGAATCAAACTAACTTATCTGATTTGAAACGGAGTGAGTAATTAATAAAAATAAGATTAGTGGTACAAATTTTCTATAGAACACATAACGTTACAATGAGAAACATAATAACCACTAGACAAATATAATAATGCATATGTAATATGTTCTCAACAGCGAAACAAAACTCAAAAGAAAAAACTAAATAAATAAATGTATTCAGATGACGACGAGAGATGCAACAACAAATGTATTGTTTCGACTTTCATATTTCTGCAGCTTTCCAAATATAGACAGAGAAATGTGACATTAAAAAGTATTTAACTTTTAAAAAAGAAGATGATTATGTTTAAGTAAATTTGAAATTGGTTATAGCATACTAAAGAAGACAGAAAAAACAAAACTTTTCGAAAGTTAGGCAATACAACATTTGCTTATTTTTTCCCTTTATTATTTATTTATTTCTTTTTTGATTCTTATCATTAAAATGGACAATAAGGATGGATCCTAGCCTATAAAAAATACGATAGACATGTGGCATTAATCAATAGCAACATTGAGATGCATGAAATACTTACTCAGGAAAGGATATAAGTCCATCATTATTGGTATCAAAAAGCATGAAAAATTGTGAAGGAGCACAATGTAGGTCGCTGGAAGCTGATTCTCCTTTGAGATAGCCCCCTCTAACACCACTTGTTTCTGATGGAGGAAACACTGGAACAATCGCTCGCATTAAGTCTACTGGAGTCATATACACTTCGCCACTTGGAGTTCGGTAAGATGCAAAGTACTCAAATACCTTGAACCAACGTAAAAAGAAAAATAAGAATATGTCCGTATAATTCCAAGAAGTATCATGAGTAATATGTCTGCACTGTGCTCAGAATGCAGAATTTGTAGAAAATTCTTGCCTAAAGAATCATTAATTTTTAGTCTTCTTTATTTTTCTTCTTTATGCGTCTATTATCCGAAACTATTGGGCCGACTAATTCTGATTTGGAATTTTTATATTCCTATACACAATTTGAAACTTTATTACCCTCCCTACTCAAGTTTCAATTTAATTACATTCTATATACAAATTTACCAATTATATACACTTTAGGAATTAAATGAGTATCCCTTTATATTAGGAATCAATTATTTCTCATCCTTATTCTCTCTTCCTCCTGCGCTCTCCCTCTCCGTCACTCTCTCTCTCTCTCTCTCTCTCCTGCTCTCTCTCTCCGTCTCTCAATCCCTAATTCCAGTAATGTAGAGCAAACGAAAAGAGAGCAGCAATTCCACCATTGACATTCATTAAAAAGTTTTGAAACTTTGAATGCGAATTTGGGTTTTCAAAAATCATTATCTGTTTGGATTAGGTGTTGTTGCAAACAATTGAGAATATTGTTTGGAGTTTATATCTCAATTTTGAGGGTGTTTTGGTGAAGATTAGACTTGATTTTGGGTGAATTTCAAATTGAAACTCGAAAAAGAAGAAGACATGACATACATTATACTTACGAAATTGTAGTAAAATTATAGAAAAATTGTATTATGTTGTTTATATATATTTTGTTATTTAAATATTGTATGAAAGTTGAACAATATTGTATAATAATTATATTTCAGTTGTATGATATTGTAGTTGTATATAACTGGGATAGAAATAATGTATGAAAGTTGTAGATAAGTTGTATAATATACAATTAGGTGTATAAAATTTATTTTTACTATGTATAAATCAGATACGAAATATACAAAAGACATTGTATAAAGTTTGTATAAAAATTATAGTTAAGTGATATGATATTGTAGTTGTAGATAAGTTGTAGATAAGTTGAATAATATATAATTATTACGTGTGAAATTTATTTTTTGTATAAATTAGATACAAAATATATAAAAGACATATTTGTAGAAAATTTTATATTTAAATTTGTTGGGTGTGAGATGAAAGGTTTATTGTTATTTTCATATCTCTTCTCTATATCATTAAGTAGTTCTCATGTCAAAGTCTGGTTGATTTTGGATATGTATATTTTGCCATGAAGTAGTAAGCGTGGTGATTTTTATATTTTGCCATGAAGTAGTAGAAGATGAGATATGGGGAGAAAGAGAGGGTGACGGTACTCGAGATCTGAGAGATTAGATTCTCTAAATCCCTAAATATAAGTTCAATCTTGAGAGATGCTTTTCTTCATCAAAAGATATGTTTCAGAATTAACACTGTGATTTCTGCAGAAAACCGGCAGCATTTTTGGGGGGGAGCTTGACCGAACCACTGGCTATATACATCTCAGTAAGCTCGACCAGGTTCAACCAACTTTGCTGAACTTTTCCTGAATGTTAAGGATGATTTGTACTTGCTGCAAATCGATGCTAAAAAGCTTGGGAATGGGTTGGTTTACGAAGCTATCGATGACTCATGTTCAGAAGATTTTACAAAGCTTGTTTGTTGTAAGAGGGGAGAGAGGAGAGAAAAAAGGAAAAGGGTACAACTAAATCCCTTGATTGAAGGCATAAATAATGGATTTGGAGCATTTTAAGGTGGATTGTATACATTTTATAACTAAAATGTGTTTAGGTCGGGTAAATACCAAAATATGGACATTTTTCGTAATAAGGTTTCAAATAGTGTATAGGAATGAAAAAAATTCATTCTGATTTATACAGCATAGGGCCCACTAAAGGAGAAATTACTCTCTACCAAGAGTTTTTCTATTTATAACTCGAAGCCTATGATTAAGGATGGAGCAATTTCATCCATCCCACTCACCCCGCAGGCTTCGTTGTACCTTGCCTACTCATCAAGACTTATTTGTATTCAGATACAATCTATTTTCTTGGGCCCAAGGGAACCTTGGCCAATCGTTCCTCGCCCGTCCTTGCTTAGGAAAAAATTAAACAACTATCTCTTGATTGATCTGTTCCCGTTGGTGGTAGAAGAGAAGAAGATAAAGAGGGGTTGCCATTGACGGAGAAGAGAAGAAGAGAAAGCGGAAACTAATTTTATTTCAAGGATGTATTATTTCAGGGAAGAAGCAGAATGAAGGACACACTTTAGGGTCTGTTGGAAAGCCACCAGGTAATTGAAATTAGTATAATTACTAGGTACTAATTACACAGCCTAATAATTATATTGTATTATAATTACGACGACTTGTTTGTTTGTCATAATAATTACAGTGTAATTACAAGTGTACTGTTTGGTTGCACAAGTGTAATTACACGGTTAGATTAAATCTTAAATATAAAGTTAATTACTAATCACATATTTGTAACTAATATTCTAAAAATAACTGACATATATATTTTTAAAATTAATAGTAATATTTTACTTTAATTAATAATAAAAACTAAAAGTATATATTTTGTAAGAACATCATGGACTGCATGCTTGATAAAAATGATATTTATAAATATTAATGCCATTACATTACTCAAATATTTTATGAAAAAATAATCTATTAAGCAAATAAAATAGAATTAATAAGTCAATACTACTAAAGCAAATAAAATAGAATCGAAAATATAATATAAATTCAAAATTTAAAAATTAAATAAATAAACATAATACTCTTATATAAAATTATAATTAACATAAAATAAGTTTCAACATAATTTAAAAGAAAAAAAATATAAGTTTATAACCTCATTCAACAGTGAGATTCTACTTTAATGACATCACTCATTATATGCCAAGTTTATTAATGACTCGTTATTTCTAATATTAGGAGGTGTAGTTTCAAAACTAGAATAATAGCACAATTTTCTAAATGAAGAAAATAAAAAAAATAAAAAATATGAGTAACTACATGGAATCACAAAAAATAAACATTGAAAAATGAGAATATTATTTTAATATTAAAAAAATAATATATCATTTTAACATAATTAAGTTTGCATATAACCTCATTCAATAATAAAGTTCAGCTTTAATATCACTCATTATAAGTCTAGTTTGTGGATAACTTATTCTTTCTAAGATTACGAGGTATAATATTTTAGAAAAATTAGAATAATAACATAGCTAAGTGTAATAAAAAATAAAAAAAATAATTAAGAAAGAAATAAAATATGAGAAATTACGTAGAAACACGTGAAGTAACGGTTAAAAACTGAAAAATAAGGAAATAAAAGATAAATAATGTTAAAAAAAGAATTTGAAAAGTTAAAATAAAAAATAAATTAAAAAGAAAAAAGAATAGAAATAAAAAGTAAATTAAAAAGAAAAAAGTGATTATAAAAATGACCTTGTAATTACACCATGTATTTACCAGCAATTCTTAGCCATCCTTGAATTGCAGAGTGTAATTACACTGCCTCAATTACACCAATTACATGCTGACCAAGTAATTACTTTATCGGACAAATATGCTAAAATTGTGTAATTACACCCAAATCCAATTAAAGGGTGGCTTTCCAAATAGGCCCTTAATCCACATCAGCAGTATGTGTTTAATAGGCACAATATGTATTGAGTTCAGGTGCCCAATAGGTACAAGTTTAAGTGAAAATTATTGCTAAGTTAAAGGGGCTATTTATGTATTTGGCCATAAAATTTCTTTCATGCATAGTTAAAGGGAAAAAAATTATATAAAAGAAACTATTATCATATTTTTATGTAACATCCAAATTCTAATGTTCTGTTGACTGTTAATTAGAAAGAGGGACTCTTAAGTTAAAGAGAGTTTTATTGTCTCGCTTCCTATGCAAGTTTTAACCCTTGGGTGGGGGCAAAACTAGTCAAGAATCAGAACCCTTAATGTTATTTGTACTTGCTACATAATAACATTACATGTCTAATAGTACCGTAATAATTGATGCATGTACAATGTACCTAATAAATAATATCTCTACCTTTTCAGGAGGACTTTGCAGTCTCAACCGTTTCTCATACTTGAAGAAAACTTTTTTTCGGTATGAATCTGAAAATACAGAAGAAGGCAAACAAAAAACCATAAAAGTTGAAGAAAATGAATAAAAACAATCATTACTCTAATATATGTAAATTCAATTTCAATACCTCCAAATAAAAACGTGGGTTTTTTCCCTGGCTCTTCCCTTCTACTTTCAGAATTAGCATAACAAATATGAGAATCATTATGAGAAGGGGATGAAATATAATAGACGGCTAAGGTTGAGCAAGCAATAATGACACCAGAAGACAGTGATTCAACAACTATTCGATTTTTTCTATATCCATTGGAACCGCCGAACCCAACATCTAATTGGTGGCCATTCGATTTGGTGAAGATGGAACGAAATATTGGATTATGAGCGGCAAGCGCTCGGATTGCTTGCTTAGGTGTTCTAAAAAATGCCCAAGGATGCATAGTAATTACAAGCAGTAAGGAGATAGCAGAAAACCAAAAGAGGATCAAGATTATTATCACTAAGTTGTTACAGACAAGGTTGATCCTTGGAAAGGGGAAAGTGAAAATATTACGGATATATTTGACCGAGAAAGAGAGGTGTGGGATGTTTCTTGAGTTTTTGGCTCAGCTTTATTCATAACGGTCTCCAAGGTGGTTGGTTATATATGTTTTTTATGAGTCCCGATTATGTGCAATACTAGTGGCAAAGGAAGCCCATGCTAAGCTCGGGCCCCAACTCAATGATTTTGATTAAAAAGTAATTTGTGTTGTAGTCTTTCAAAATTAATCGTATAAAAAATTCTCTGTTTCTGTTACCATGCATATCCATTGTTTATATCTTCAAATTGGATTTTGAATCAGTCGGGCTAGAACTTAAACTTATGGCCTTCTGTCAAAAGATTTATTAGTTTTCTTTGTGTTGGGAAATGGGATTGGGTTGCGGGTCGCTCCACGTGACTGACCCGACCCATTTAGAAGAATTAAGTAAGAAAAGTTACAACAGAAATAACCACTCACATCAAAATTGTTGCTATCGTGTTTAAGGGTGTGGGATCAGTTTTCTTTATGGTTACATACTGCTTCTCTCTCATTAGAAGACTAAGCAATACTATCTCTTCTTCTGATGACGATAACTCGTTTCCTAGTGAATTGAAGTTTGACTTGGGGAACTCTTTTGGCGGTGAGTTCAAGGATTCTTTTGCTACGTTATTAATATGTACATTATTGTTGTTCTCGCTCACGTAATTTAATCTTGCATTGGTATCATAGCCGACCCGTAGTTGTGCTGCTATATGTCTTTTATAAGTGTGTATGGCATGAGCAGTACATTGCAGTTCACATTCATGGATGAGATCATCAACATCTTAACTTACAATTATTTCATGGGCAGTGAAATTTTTCTTTTTTCATGCCTTGTAAACATCAAGATCTTTCATAATCTAGGCACGGTTACCCTCCTCTAGGTGACACATCACATGATTTATATCTTCAAGAGCATCTTACACTTCCGGTACATACCATATTTTACGGCTCCATGTATCATAATTTTTGTTGCTCAATTTATCACCTTTATTTAAATAAGCAATTATACATTTTGAAGCCATAGTCTGTTATACTTATAAGAGATAATCAGAGAAGTATCACTCATCAATAATGCATGTGATATACATACTCAAGCAAATCAATTCTCATAATGACTTGACACTTAGCGTATCATCAAAAAGTCACGTAGTTTTCAATCATCATCTACGGTCTAAACATTTAATCAAATGTGAAAACACTTCTTAGTATGTATTTATTATATTCGTGACTAGAATCATATAGATTCTTTAAGTCTTATGCTCTTACAACATTCTGTTATATATACCAATGAGCAGAAAAAATAACAGAAGAGACAATCAATATATATATGATTAAAAGTATTTACAACTCTCTCACCCAAAGTCTTAGCTAACTTCTGTATAGGAGAAGGTTGATAAAATGAGGCTTTGTACATGTCTTTAGAAGCCAAGATCTTTTAATTTTAGCTTTTATGTTCTATTTCTTTCACTCAATTAAAAGTGCTTGAGTATATACTCAAAGAGACTGCTTTGCACCATACTTATAATGAATATTATCTAATATATTGTCCTAATTAAAACTATGGGAGAGTATCCCTCAAGTTGGGCACTAATTTGGTCTGTGATGCTTTGGAGAAGGTGTAGTTAATTCTGGAGCGGCTTCGTATAGCACAGTTCAGGCAGAAGAGTTATGTGGACAGGAAAGCTCGTGATGTTGTATTTATGGTGGGTGAGAAGGATCTACTCAGAGTTTTGCCCCATGAAGGGTAGGTTCAGGAAGAAGGGCAAGTTGAGCCTTAAGTATATTGGTCCTTTTGAGGTGCTTGAGAGAGTTGGAAAGGTGGCCTGCAGACTTGCCTTGGCACCTAGTCTATTAGAAGTTTGTTGATACCCAATTTTTACCCTCGTATTTTTCAAAATACATATACGCTTTCACAATAGCGTATTTGCATCAATATTTAGTTTACAAACTTATACAGGCATTTTCTATAATTTTCTATAATACTATTGAGCTTTAAATTAATTTTCTTGCATTTAAATTATATGAATATTTAGTAATTATCCCTTTAAATTATTTTGTGATGACTTAGTTACCTAAGATTATTATTTTTTTACATTTAATATATGTTTCAAATATTTTATTTCATTTCATATAATTACATTAGCATTTTTGATCTATTTATCTAATTTTGCAATAATGGCCCGTATTCATACATAAAGTTTTTTATTCTATATTATTGATGTCAAAATAAAAAATTTATATTTTTATAATACAAATTTATTATTTTAAGCATTTCAGTGCATAAATAATATTTGCATTCATTTATTAAGCATTTTCCATAAATTATTTTGATAAAATTTGGGGTATTTAATTTATAGTCTAATTTCTTACCTATTTTTCGGACCCAATACTATCCAGACCTTAGCCCAATCTACCCAAACCTTAGCCCAATTACCCTAAGCCCAAAATCAAAATACCCCTTTTAAAATACCCAGCAACCCACTACCCATACTCGATTAAACAACCCGCCCAACCCCATTCTCTCATCTTGGCCGTTGATCTCACATGATCAACGGCCCCTAATAAACCAACCCCTTTTAATTAACCCCAACCCAGAAACCCTAACCCCATTTTCCCTTAGACGTCGCCCTTATTCTCTCTGCCTCTCTCATCTCTCTTCTTCTCCGATTAAACCCTAATCGCCGCCTTCCCCAAATTTTCTCCTAATCCCGGCTACAATGGGACTTTCCTCTTATTTACTTACCATATTCGTGTGTTTTCACTACTGGTTGATTCTCCATGGTATCACCTAGTAATTGCCTAAACATGGCAAGTACTACCTCTCCGATTCTGTCCGAATGAGTCCCATTTTTTGAATCTGTACCGTATTTCATCCACACGTATCTGATTCTACACTGTGTGAGTCCGGTTTCATTTGGATTTTTGCTGATTTACACTTTTCCTAAGAAATTAGGGTTTACCGGGTTCCTCTCTTAAATCGATTTTAAATTGATTTGAATGTTGTCTTTCCTTATTTGTTTCTTAATTTACTCTGTTTCCTTATGTGTTTGTTCAATTTTACTGCTATATAAACCCCTTCCCATTCCCCTTTGAGACAGACTTGAGTCACTAGAATCTCACTAAAACTTGAGGCTTGTTCTGTTAATTCCTTCATTATCCTGTTCTATGCTTTGTGTTGGCCGGCTGAAAGCCAAGGCCACTGAGAGTCTACCGTTCGAACTTTTTATTGGTGCGAGCATTGCCCGGGGTTCTTTTGAAGTTCTTGGAAACTTTGACGCATCGATATTTCTAGGTTCTTATGGATCTTTTATTCTTTATTATTGTCCGTTTAACTAGTAAGCTACTAGACTTTGCAATTTCATCCCTATGTATCTTTGATTCACATGTGTTCTCACCTCTGAAATGCATAGCTTAATGTATTTTTTCTAGATTATTTTGTGCGTGATTCTGTTAAGTCTACTGTATTCTAAGTCTTTTTAGCATCTAACTTCCTCCTAATGATGCTAGTTTTGAGATTGCTTAAGTCTATTTTGGATAATCTGATTCTCTTAAGTTCGTTTAACCAGTGTATTGGTGCCTGAACATTCCCTAAAACTTGCTTACTTGCTTTGTCTTTAATCTCTATAACGAATGCTTCACACTTGTGTTAGAGCTTCCTGTGTTAATTATAACATGTTCCCCTGCTATTGTGTCGCTCAACATGAGCCCCATACCCATTAGTGATTGACTGAGATCTTAATAGTTACCTCAACTTGTCTTCCATGCCCTGCTTGAATCATTTTGTTTTATGGCATAACTTAGACCTTCTTTAGTTAATTAATTTATTGTGTCAATCCCAGAATATCTACATGTGCTATTTGGTATGAGCTTGCTATCTTGTAGTGCTCTGAATCTCGGCAGTGTTTGTCCTGCATGTACAATATGTTTCAATTTGTATTAAGACCATTTTCTATCAACTATGATCTTGCTTCTATGCTAGTATGTCTCCCCAGTGTGCCTTTGGTTCATTTGATACCCTGTCCTTTCAGTGATTGTCACAATGTGAGTCCTCCATCATGTCTAAATATCGAGCTCTAGATCAATGCAAGCAGGGGTATGGGCATTTTGAGGGCTGTAATCTGTTGCTACAGGTTTGGTTATTAGAACATTTTCAGAGAGGTAAATATCGTCAGGAACTTCTGCGATGACCATTGAATGACTACATAGCCTACAACCATCCAAAAAGAATGACATTTATCGTAGATAGGTTCGCGCAACCCGGAAATACTGTGAGCTGGGTGCGCTTCTTCAGCAATTTGACTGATGAAAGGGTACATTGGATGTTCGAATGGTTCCCTAGCAACTAGTTCATCATCAGGTCAAGAGCAGCCACTCATTTAGTGTTGATCGGGTTAAGAGGAATCTATCCTTATGCTTTTATAAGAGTAATGAGGCAAGCGGGAAGAAAGCAGGTTATACCTCGGGTTTCCAACATGGTCCAGTATAAAGCAGACTTTAAAGGGAACATCATTCCATTCAAGTTCGAGGCGCAGCATATGTGGAATCAAAAGGTCGTTGTAGAGAAAGACATTATCGAGCCAGACAGGTACCATGCCGACCATGTATACTTCTACCCATCATGGTTGGTAGATGATATAGCGGGAGATGCCAAGCAGGGATTAATATGAAAAATAGGGTTATAGATGACGTTGTTGAAGCACAAGTCAAGTATAGTATGCTGCGCAAGAGGGTTTTCGAGTCTGAAGCTAGACATTTGGAACATCACAAAGTGGATATGGAAGCTATTGGCGAATGGAAAGAAATTGCTACTAAATCAACAGAAAGATTGGAATATTTGGAGCAAGGGTTAATGGAACTCGAGGGGAAAATGAGGAAGAGGCTCTCAGATTGTTAGAATACGGAAGGCAAAAAGGGAGGGCACCTAGCAAGGGCTTACCTACTATTGGACATGCGCGACCTGGGAAACTTGATTGATGGATCCAGAAGGCCAAGCATAGAGAAGGTCCCTCTGGGGCCAAATAGATTAGGA